TTTTTTTATCTATAATTAAAAAAAGTAATTGTTGCAATCATTATTAATTGAAATGTTAATTATATAGATCTTGGAACAATCTGCTTGATGAGTTATTACTGGTTCTGATGTATTATGAATATAATAATTTAGTATAATACAGGATCGTTTTTGTTAGCGACGGAACATTGCTTGCATATTTAATTATGTAGCACCACAAACCTTTGCTCACTCGTATTAGTAGTAAACCGAGTTTTGGCATGTACTCTACGTCTATACCCGAAACAGTGGCACGCTTGATCAATATACTATTCACATTTAGGAATGGCTTATCCAAAACAATTTTTTTTGTCATTAATAAATTATTATTTTTTAATTAGGGCTTGATTAATAAAATAATACCTTATTAACTATTTAGGTACGGAGCGTTATAAAACGCCATATTAAAGATTAGGCAGCCCGTTAAGTCTCTAAAATCTTCCCAGATTACTATATTATTCTAGTTGAAATGTACAATATTTGTTTAGTGATGGTTTAAAATCATTGTCACACCAAATTATGTGATTTTTTTAGGCTAATCTGCTTTTCAATTAATTTTCTGGCTCACTGAAAAAGGGAAATTCAAGGCAATTGCAATCCAATGGTTAAAAAAAAAATAATGATAATAAAAAAAAACATAAAAAATAAAATAATGAAAATAAATCCAGAGAACGGTTGCAAACCAAACCTCGTTAGAGTTCGTGTCTAAGCCAAAATGAGTGGGGTCCTTTTGTTTTTGTAATCGCATTACTACGTAAACAATAATATGTGAAAAACAATTCACCCGACATAAATATTATGGCGCGAAAAAAATGCATTATTTTTATTTACGAGGATTTGGTTTTTATTTTTATTTGTTACATGTCTAGCAAAAGTTTGGTTCAGGGATATATTTTTCTTTCAACTTAAATAACGCGGGAAAGTACACTAGAGAGTGATATTAAAAACACACAAAAAAGGCAAAAAAATGAAGGTTCATTGTCGTCGTAAAATAGTGTGTTTGGATTTTTATTTAGAAAACTTTCATTATTTATGACCCGATGTGTACGATCTCTTGAATATCTCATTTAATATTAGAAAACTTTAACTACTAAGGAAAGTAAAAAGGTAGAATAAGAAATTCTTAAGGATATAAATAAAATTATATTAGATGACTTTTTTCTCGAGACATTAAGGATGTTGCGTGTTAACAACTATATTGATAATTATTATTCTTAGACTTAAGTAGGGATCTGACAAAGTGACATAAAACTTAAGCGGATTCTGATACTGTGCATTTTTCCCAGACTATTTAGCTAAAAAGAAATGTGAGGCATGGTCTTAACAAATTGGAAATGAAAATGTTTAGTAATAATTTTATTGTACGTCAGTCTTTAAAACCAAATACTATCTACGAATGTCTTCTTCTCTGAAAAGAGCCTATTAGGACTCATTGCTTACAAACGAATACCATACCTAAAGTTCTCTAAATTGGTATCTTATCGTTAATGAAACTGCCGTGTACGTGGTGACTGGTGAACTATAAAATTGCGTGACTGTTCAGACAACTACAGTTGTAACTGACAACCCATAATGACTGATTGCAAAACGTTAATTGTTGTTTAAAGGTTATAGGTATATATGCAATTACTTTTAAAAATGTGACAGTATTACACTTATAACTAATACCTAAAAGATAGGTACCTAATATTAGTCCATCAAATAAGAAGAATGTTTAACTACATAATATTATATTGTATTACGAGGTTATGTTCATTATTCATAGATTTTAGATAAATAATTTTGTTCCGCTTAGAATCCACGAAAAGCGACTACAGGTGGCCTGAAAAATTAAATATTGTGTGTTTCCGACTTTCTGGAGAAATAGTTATGAATTTAGTTCACAAATAACTTTGCTTAACATACTTATAAACTATATATTTTCTATAAAAAATATGTTTAACAGGCTTTTATTTAAACTAAAAGAAAGATATAGCTTTGATAAAATTATAATTTATAATTTCAAATAATATTACTGAATGTTGAAAAATTTGTATAACAATTTTGCAAATTAACTTAGAATAAATAAGATCTCTAACGAGATATGCAAATGTTTTACTAACTATATTAACTTGCGTCCATTTTTTACTTTATAAATCTATTCAAAATAATGCATTAGTTTGTCTGAAGCTTTGTTTAATGTAATAAAAGCTAATGTAAAAATAGATTATTTTTAAGATTTCTGATTAAAAACTTTGAGAATATTGAATTTTTATTTTAATAAATAAGGTAAACAGATTTTTAAACAAATATTTAAATAGTGTTAAATACATTTATACATGTTATAAAATATCGTTTGAAGGCGATAAAATGTAAATTACTTTAGCTTAATGCAACTATTAAGGTACGAGTTTAACACAAAAACCAAAAATTATGGTAATGAAACATGAGATATACCTAATAAGCTTAAATTGTTATTCTACTATTTATGTGACACAGGATATGGAAGTTTTTATTATTAGTAATCTGTAATTTAATTATCTGAGTTATAATTATCATTTTTACATAATATTTACCATCATCATTCAAAAAGTTAATAGGAAAAAAAGTATTTATTAAATAAGTATAATTCTAACGTGATAATTGCATTTGGAAAAATTAAAAAGAAGGACTCTCAAAGAGATACTTACATTATATTTACCTAATTGAGTACGAGCTTTAAATTAAATACCACTAATAATGTCTGTTATCTGCATAAACTTAATCAAATTCACATTATCAGGAACCTATTCAATAGCTTTATGGTATGCAGTATTTAATTATAAGTTAATAACAATAGCTATAATATAGTAGGAATAATAATAACAATAATAATAAAAATTTTATCATCGAATTCGATAGTTTTGGCAAAAATTAGTTTTACTCACCGTTTGATCAATAATAATATAAATAAACTTTAAAATATGCTTAGAAATAATAGACAATGCACCGTTCCCGGCTTCCCGCTCACAATGATTTTTCGTGAAATACAATGATTTATCGTCCAATTCAAATATAGCAAATCCAATATAGTAACCTACTCAATTTCGTGACCAGCCAGAGGTATTTATACTATACAGCACAGAGACATCCTCAGTTTTTAAACATCCACAATCTTATTGGTAAACATACAACAAAAGTGGTAGTAAATAACTATGTGTAGACAGACATGATAAAGCGTTTAAGGCATTTTATTTCTGAACAAAATATATATTTGCTCAAATTCTCATCCAGTGTCCTAGATTCCACAGATTATCTTAGAAATAATAATAATAAAAAATATATTTGTATATTATTAATACGAATTTCAGAAACGTAAAATTAATTATTTTGGTGGCTTGAGATAAATGTGATGTAGCTATGGAAACTGAAGACTTTGTTTATTCAACAATCCATCCCTGGAGCTGGTTAGTGTAGTAGAACTAGTCAGTTACTGCTCCCTTAGGAATAAGATGCGATATTGACAATCCCTTGTTGTTGACGCATCGTATGGCCATGAGAAAGGTTCAAGTTAAATAGGTCTTAGAAATATTTTAGTGATTGCTCTGATTTAATTTTTAGAAGAAAATTTATACTTACATTATAAATATTTAGATTTTGTCTAAAAAACTAAAACCCTTATTAAATTCTAATTTACGTAAATTATGAATTAAATGTAAATTATTATATTAGATTTGTACACAGAACTTTGTATTCAATTTTACAGTGAGCCAAATTGCATACAATAATATTTTTTTGTAATAGGTTTTTATTTCAAATATAATTGTTTACGTTTATTATATTAGATCATTAAGTCAATATTATTGAATCGTACAAACTTTTTTACGTCCATTAAATCAACTTATTAAGTAATAGCTATAATAGTGATGCAATTAAAATTTTTAATATAACCAGAAATCAATTAGTTATAGTTGAGAGATTAAAATCAGCATAAAATATACTTAATTTATTTATAATTTTTTTGAAAGACACTTTTAAGAACCCATGTACATAATTGTAAATTAATGTAAATATTTCTTATACTTTTTAGAATAACTCTAAAATTTAAAGTATTTTTTTTTGTATTTATTTTTCATTCAAATATGATTTTTAGAAATATATTATTTGCATTAGAAATTTAGAACTTAAAGTTATGTCTAGAGAATACTTGTATCAACTAAACTGTATCAACTAAGTACAAGTACAATGCATGTGTTTATTTATCGTGAATAATTTTTATTCTTAAAAATAAAATGCATTTTAGTTATCATTTATTATAATATGAAGCGATATGCGTAACGTTATAATTTAAAGTTTCAGTTATTTTTTGCAAATATATAAAATAAAATAATAGCTTTAATTTCTGGTCAATTTATGCGTTACAGAAGGGAGTATGCTAATATTTTAAATTTAAGGCCTTCTCATTAAAACGATATAATAATATGGATCCTCCAAAGGTAAACTTTATAAATTAAAATTTGTATTTTGATGTTTTTGTTCTATTTTAACTAATTTGCATTTAACTTATTGCCACATTGGATTCGTGAAGTATTGAATATTTAAAGCCATATATTTTGAAACTGTTTTACAATTCTAATTTGTATTTTATATTTTTATCTAGATTACAAAAATTAGTCCATTTTGGTGTTACCTTTTTATGAAAATCACATTTGTTTATTTAACAATACAATATGTAAGTTTGAAAAAAATACTATATATTTCTATTTATTAAATAATGTTTTTAAAGACTGGATTTTCCTATTACTATGATATATTTTCTTCTAATTTAATAGACTTATAGGTGCAAGCTAGATTCCAAATAGGTATTTAGACAAATGAAAGCGTTTAGTCACAAACATTAAATACTTAAATGATGGTATCTATTATAATATTCTTCTATAATATTCCGATGATTAATTTTATTCAAGTACGATATAGAATTATCATAAATATCGTTTGCATCAAAAATTAAAAAAAAAACTTACTTTTGAGTCGTGTGTCCAGTAAATCAAGGGCGGTGGTTCTGGACTATGCTTTATGATGCACGTTAAGTTCATAGTACTACCCTTATTGATGAACATATCAGGACCTCCAATGATTGTTGTTATGGGTTCTGAAAATATAATTTATATAAGTAATTAATCAAGTAACAGAGATTTAAAATAACATTTTTTTTACTTAGAACGCATCTCTGATTATTAATTATAAAGTATTACTATCTACTTTATTATTTAAATTGCGAAACATAAATAATTTTAATAAATAATCATTAGCTTATCTATTATGTAGAATAAAATATAATTTAAACTCTATGAGTTGTGTGATCGAGTATAATTATGAGCTATAGTTTATGTAGGTTCCAGTTCCAGATGTAGGTTAGGTTAGGGTATTTAACCTCGAAGAATGTGGTGTGTATAATGATTAATTGCTTTTTAACCGGGATTTTGGTTAACAATTTGTGAACGTCTTTCGTCTGTAAATACCGATAACAATTAATGTGATACATTTCACAATGTTTAATATTTATTCTAGTTAGCGTCACTGTTTAAGGTTTACTGGTGTATTGAATTTTTCTGTACAGTATTAATTTTTTTAATTGATTTTTTCTTACATATTTTCATAACGAATAACATTATAAATGATTATTACATTGTTATACCCAATAATCAATATTATGTTATACTATCCTTTTTGCATTGTTTTAATCGATAATACCGAGAATATCGAACCTTCAGAAATGTTATCTCCAACAGTCGTACTGAAATGTATATTTTTTGTTCGTTCATTGTCACTATACATATTATATTATTATTATGGCAACGAACCAATATATTATTATTGAAATGCGTTAAAAAAATATTTATTCTTACGAATCGGGCCGTTTGTGATTTCAAAGAAAACAACATTAATAATAAATCTTCATTTGTGGGTGTAATTCTTATTTACGAAAATCGAAATATCGTACAATGTCGAAACAATTGTCGCGGTCGTTTGTATCAAAATATTTGGCCACAGATGTGAGGGTCGAGGGCCGTGGATACAACTGCGTCATACTGCACGGGCTGATCGTCATTATCGTTATCATATTTTTTTTATACAATATTATATTATTATTTTATTTCGTACTCGTTTGGTATGCAGGTTAGGTTAGGTTAGGACGTGCACGCGGGATTTTCTCCCTCGCGCACGCACACGTTGGCTGCCGATCCACTCGAAGAAACGGGCTGCGACGAGGACGAAGAAGTGGCAGAAGTCAAGATAATAATATGACGTATAGCCTTCGCTAGGTGGATGAGTGGCGGTGGTGTCATTTGTCACGGGATACACTGACAGTCATTACAAGCACTCAAGGGCCATCTGCTTGATGTCCCTGGCCATGAGCGGCGTTCGTCCGACCTCCGGTATACAGTGCACGAAGGGTGGCCGGCGCGCGCACCCACACACACCCACACACCCTCACATACATATACGATGAGAGAATACTCCCGCGTTGTTTGAATAATATCTTTCGGGTCCTAACTACATCTTAATGGTAAAAAATGTTTTTTGCGACCTTTTGTGCATCGCTCTCGCATAATGCTGAAATTAAACCTGCCACCACGGCCGGTCACTACGTTAACGATCAACTGTCGTAAAGCTTTACTCGTCCGATTCTCTCCTCATCCCCACCGGCCAATCCATCAGAGATTTACATAAAAACTAAACCATACATTTTGTAGCTGGACATGACCGAGATTTGTTTTGGACACACACACGCACACACACACACACACACACACACGACCGTTATATAGCTGTGGTGCTAATAACCTGGATGGAGTCATCGCTTTTCAGCCTACTGAATGTAAATATCAAATGTTATCTCTGACAAAAAAATGAATATCCAAATTAAACATAATAGTATTTCCAATATTTATTACTTAATATTTTCCAATTGATTAAAAAAAAACAATCATTCCATTGTGTTTGTATTAATTTTACCAGTGCCTTGTTTTTACTGTTTTTTGGTAATCATTTTTGATTATTTTAGTGTAATGACTAATGGCAGTCGAAATTTGTGTGTGGATCAACTACCACACGAAGCCCCGATTATATGCGTATTGACACAGAAAATGTACCTAGGAGTTAGGACAATAATAACTTTCATAGATAATGACCGTGCTGATGTTATAATTATTTAAGCTAACTTGAGAAATATTATTAAATTATTTCCAGTAAATTATAATATTAGAGTTCTAAATAAAATTCCACCTAAAAATTGTTTTTCCTATACAATCAAAAAAATACAATCTAAAAACAAATCCTAATTTCTATTTTTATAATTTAATCAAATAACCCATAAATCCATCGTACTAGTAGGTAATAGGTATATACAACTTAATAAGATCTAATTATAGTTGAGGCAATTAAGAGACCATCAAATTAAAATTGAGTATCACTATAAAGAAGATTAGATGATGACAAATTGAAAAATGACATGTAAAATATTATGATAAACACTGAACAAGTTACAATGATTGTAAAAAATTGTTTCGGCAGAATAATATACCTATTATGTTTTTTTTTCTCAATGTTATATAAACTTTACCATTTTTATTAAATTGTATTTAAAGTTTGTTAACAAAACTATATTCTTAGACATATAACTTGTTTTTCTTGTAAAATTTTTTTCTTAGATTTACTATCAATAATCTTATACTTATACTTTATGCTGTTTATTGTTTTTATTAGCATATTAATTTTTTGTTTAAATATATTAATAATAATATGGCAATACTAATTATTTATAGAATTTGTATTTTGATGCCAGACTTACGCTAGCCATTAACAAAAGAACAAAGAAACAACAGCAATTTCATCCATTTTTATACTTGGCAACAAATATGAAACAGCAACAAATTACAAACTTTCACTTTTCACCAAAAAAGCAAAATACAAACATTTACGAGATAAAATGTTTATGTTGTATTTTATTATTAAATGGGGTGCACACTCTGTACAACCAAAACAGAAACAAGACATCGTAGTTTTATAGTTATTAGTTTAATTTACTTATGTTTCAAATTTAACAAAGGGTGTCATGTGGTGCAAGGTTGGGGCATGTCATAAAAAATTATCTATGTTTAAGAATAAAATATTATTAGTTAATTGTTTGCGTTTCTTCATCGTTTTTTGAATTATTATACCTTTTGGATTGTTAATTGTTATGAATTATTTAAATAGACATACTGATAAGAACTTTCCAGTTTATATTTATTACATACCTACATTGATTCAGTTTTAAATTAATTAAAACCTTGTATGGACACAATATCTAATACTCAAATTAATTTAGTTGAATGTATTCAATTACAACTTAAAAAATTGAAAACATATAATTTGAAGTTATTCTTAAGCAAATTAAAAATATTTTCAACTTGATAAATTAAAACCACTTGACGTGGCTTGTCATGGTTTAGTAATTGCAGGTTGAAGCCCCTATTAGGTAGTTACCAATTACGAATTATTTAAACCGGGGAAATCACTCTCTATAGTATGTGTCGTATTATGAAATAATAGCTATTATTATTATGAAATTTATATTTTTAATATTATTTACATTAAATACCTTTAGATTCTTTGAAAGTAGGTACTAAGTATAAGTGAGACTGATTCTGGTTCCATTAGTAAAATGTGGTCAATGAAAGTTGTCAAAATCGGTTTTCTAATTACCTTATACATACAACTTATAAGTTAGTATGAAATAAATTACTAATTGATAACAATATTATTGCCTCTTGTTTAGAAAAAGATACTGGTAGGAGGGATGTGACGGCCCCATTCATTCTCATTACCTGAGAAAGCACCTAACTCCAGCTTATGAAGATATTGGAGGATTTGGGTGATTTATAGTGTCAGAGTGGAATGTTTTTTTAGTGAAGCTAGTACAACGGGATTATATTACACAATGATTTCAAGGTCATTGTAAAGAGTGCAGTTGCTGACGTAAAATAGAGATACTTATAAGTTAAAAAATATTTGTACAAATATTATAGAATGTATTTATTATCTATTTATAATTTATATTTGTCTAACAATGAAACATGAATGGATGAATTCAATTTATCGAATTAATTTTTTGATGGCCTTTTATTCTTAACCTTTAATTTATGAGTAAAAATTTAATTTGTGGTGTAATTATTATACAAAGTTAACAAACAAGTACCTAATGTTTGTGCTGTAAAAAGTTACAACGAACACTTACAATCGTTTACATATTTTTAAACGTTTGTGTATGGAATATATTTGAGAACTTACTAATTGTTATGGATAAATCATGGTTGGAAAATATCATAAATTTATCGGCGTTAATGTTTGCATTCATTTACAGCGGTGAAATGATTAATCGGTATTGTAGAGTTAATTTTTAGAAATTCGTACTTTGAGGCAACATTTTATGCGTCGTCATTCAACGGGGTCCAAGCGCGCTCACAACAGGGTATAATTTGCATTTGAATTATTGCACTTTAGCGTAAACACACCCACGCACCCACAAGCGAATACACGCGAAGCGGGTAGGTGCGTATAGTAAAAGATAGCTGATACACAACACGGAATAATTGAAAACGGTACGGACATGCCACATTATATAAACCGTCCCATTTCACCTCTCGTTGTGACTATTTGAGGTGTATAATAATATGAACGAATACGATAAAGTGCCATCACGACAAAAGACGTATAAGTATGCAAATGACGTTCACCTCCGTCATCCACTGCCGCTGATGGCGATGTCGAAGCCGTCGGGAGACCGTCATTACAGTGTCGATCCATCGTTGGTAAAAACTTCTCTCGTTCTTCCCTCTCAGTCTCTCTTTTCGTAAAAACTTCTACACCAAAATCGCCATTCATTATTCATACGTGGTCTGCGAACCGTGGCCCTATTGTTTGCCGTTAAAATGACATTGGCGCTATGAGAATTTACAATTTACATCGTTATCGATTTTGTTACTACTCACAAATGGTACAGAGACAGATAGATAGATAGAATGGGAGTAAGAGAGAGAGAGAGAGAATGAGAGATATTCTGTTCTTTATTGAAACCACGAAGTTGGCTTTTCTGTAACCATGATA